AGTTGTAGCGGCTCCGACTACTTGAAAATATGCTTGTATGCATGTCTTTATTTGTCTTAAAAATACTGTCTGCATGTTGTACTTTTGTGACCAAGGGGTTGATGTGTTACTAACATATAACAGATGGTCTTCATTCCACTCCGACAAATTTTCTGTCACTATTATGGCACTAACCTCTTCATGTAGTTGGTATGATCACTGATGGGGAACAGGTCACTCTGTACGTTCTCACAGATCGTTCAGGCTAGTTAGATTGTTTTTGTACAGCGGTCAAGTTTGGTTCATAGAATATATACATATATATAATTTATTGATTATTGAGAACTAAGCAGAACCGTTTAATCGTTTTAATAGTGTGTTGGAAATTCTGTTTTTTGATCAACCGGTTAAATTGGTCACATGTTGAGTATAGTTCTGTCCTGACCTATCCGTTTTATTCATGAAATCTACATGGTCTGTAAATTTCAGCATTTTGAGGTTCTTAGTTTCAAATATCCCAGAAGTTGTACTGCGGTGTTCGCTTTCAGAACGACATTCAGTTTAGTTCCTCTTCCACTGGAGTCGGTCTGACTAGTCTGCTACAGAAACCAAACTCAACCAGAAAGAATTTATTACCCGCTAAAACACAGCTTCATTGGATTATGACAAACAGTCGGTTTAGGTTTTGTTCAGTACTCCCTTTTTTGTAGGCATTAAGTTCGACCTCAACATTTTGTACTGATAGGTGAACTTTGTAAAATTCATCATTTAGGCCTGAATCACGTTTCCTTACTCTTAGTCCAACAGTTCAGATCGTACTGAACCAAACAGTCTTTTAGGTGGCTCACAGCTCAAGGGCAGTGACAAGTATGACAAACAAGTCAGATATAAATGCAGTAGAAAATGAAGTAGCTATCTTTTAGCGCGTCTCGAGCGTGCAGTCACTACAATGGACTAATGAAGGTTGAAAACTTTACAGAACCAAAGCCAGTTGAAGGTCGTTGGGTAATATAACTATGGAGGCATATAACAGTAGAAGCAAAACATACACGAAATGTCACCATACTAAGAAACAACTGACATTCAACAGAAGTTAGTCACAGCATCACGAAGATTAAACCGAGTTGTTTATATCTTAGTCATTGTGACTTAAGCACATTGTGAGCGAAGTGATTTTCAATTGTATCCAGAAGGACAACAGACCAGTTGTGATTTCAGTTGACTTAAACGATTAATTCCAAAACGTTGACAGCATATTGCTGTTTCAGTTTACTAAACACAATTTCCTTACCTACTAAACCAACAAGCATTCGGTGAGAAATGACAAATAACATATACGTACAGTGTGATTCTGTATATGTTTAAAGTACAATGAAGTGATTGGTTGTGGTACAACTTCATCTTACCAAATCAAAAGTGAAGCTCACTTCGAGAAACAACTCTGATTTCTATATTCAGACATCTGATACATACTTCTTCTCTTCTCTTCCATTCAGGTATCATATGTCGCATCTTGCTTTGTTTAGATCGCTCCTCCCTCAGTGGGTGACGCCCTACTTTGGAAAGTATCGAGCTAAAGTATTCACTGACGGTTATTGGTAAACTATTTTGGTTTCAGATGTTGTAGACAATTCTAGAAAGACAAAAGTATTCTGTTTCGATATTCGTGAATATCACAAATTGGCCTTGGCCAGACCATTTTGAAAATGCTCAAACTCAAATGAGATTACATTTTCGTTTGCGTCCCGCGGTTTCCGTAAAGCAGTAGAGTAGTATGGAATACGCTTTTGTAGTTGGCTGGAAGTATAAGAAAATGCTATGCACATCTGATTATTTGTTAAACGGTTTAGAAAGAATGGTAGGAGGAGAATAAGGTGATTTTGTCAAAATTGGTTGGGAAAGGCAGCCACTGACAGGATACGAACAGAAATAAAGTTATGAGAAGAAATATGGACTTCAGAGCAGCAGAAAACTAATCCAGATAAAGCTTAGCAATGGTACAACAAGCAGATTTAAATAACCATAGAACGCCGTCTGAATTGAGAAAGCTGCAGACGGCCAGGTGTATCTTTACTGCAGTGGAATCGTACTGGTAATCAGGTTTCTTTTTGAAGACTTGGCTTTATATATCTGTGCATCTAGCTTTCATTTCCAATTATCACTTGGTAGAGTTGCTACAGTGGATTCTGATATGGCATTCTGCAGTGACCACATCTAGAAAATAAATTATTTTATTTTACAGGTCGACAGCTAGTTTGGTAAGGCATCTTCAGCAGATCACCTTGGAAGTGATGGGATGAGCCAGAAAAGGGCAAGTTTCATAATGAGTGGTGTAAATGTGAATAGATAATACTTACAAATATAGGGTCACATCTGAAGTGTCAACAATACATAGAGCATTATTGTTATTTAGGTAGTCAATTCAGATACGATAGTAAGTGGAACGTTATGATTCGCTTCATAGCTGTTCGTGGTAACTTTTCAGTGGGGAAAACATCCTCCGAGAGTTATGTACAGCAGTCTCGGCTAAGAACGAGAGCACACTGGTGATTTGATTACTACGCTGAGAGATTGCAAGCTTCGACAATCAAATGCCACGATCCATCAGCTGGTAACATCCTGACACAAAGCCACTGAAAGTTTCAACATGATTTAGTGCGACCGATCCCCATTGCCGGGACTCAGCTGCTTACTTTAACCAAGGATTAACAAGATTGTCTTTGGGTCGTTAGGTATGTCACACAGAAAACTGTTTGGGATGACGTGCGTTATACTGTTGTGTTCGGTGGTCGGACATGGTTCCGAACACTGAGGTATTGCGACGAGCGGACATGAACGGGATGGAAGCCTTGCTAATGTTGAATCAGCTTCGTTGGCTGGGTCACGTCCGTCGGATGGGCGATGACCGTATCCCGAAAAAGGTGCTGTATGGACAACTGAGGTCAGGTAAGCGAAGTCCTGGTGGTCCAAAGCTGAGATTCCAGGATGCTGTGCAGGTAAGTCTTTCACGTTGTAAAATTGATTTTAGATGTTGGGAAGACTTAGCGTTGAACCGGACTGCTTGGAGGAATACAATTCGGACGGGCGTCCGAGAGTTCAACGAGCAGTTATTGCGCGGCCAAGAACGAAAGCGCGCGGTACGCAAGGGAACCATCGGTGCCATAGGTCGTGGTGACATGATTATATGGCGTTGCGATGTGTGCGGCCGCGAATGCGCCGGCCGTTTGGGATTAGTTGGTCACTAACGTACTCATAGTGCACCGTCGGCGAAGAGACAACGAGTACTTTCGGCTCAGGTAGGTCATATCAGCATATCCATTTTATTTTTGATAATGATTGTATCGACCAAGACCATGGTCGTTTGACAACTAATCTGCTCCTCTTTTCAGCAACTTGGGTGTCTGTGGTCTTCTACCTACTCTTTTCTTGGGCTTTGCTGGTGTATTGAATGATGAATCGTCTGTCTGATCTTTTCGTAGTTCAACTTTGAGTTTTGTTTTTCAACTTTATCCTCTCTTGAATGCAATGGCATGCATTCGTATTCTTCAATGCTTCTTGTATTACAGTTTACATATCTTTCTTCTTAGTACAGATCTTGTCATTGCAGTCTATCTCACTGTTTATTTTCCGAGAGATAAGGGTTTCCTTTTCGTGCTAGCCATTCAATTGGCTAACCAGCATTGGCCAGCTGGACACAAAGGCCTCACTCACACACCTACTGGTCTTATTCCTTCGGGTTTACACCGGATACGTGGTGTGTGAGTGGAACTGCAAGTGGTGCCGCGCAAGCCACTTGCGGTGATGGTTTATAGCGCAGGCGTCCTTTGGCTTCGGTCACTGTGACAGGCTAATCCGTTTCGGATGCCGCCAACCGTGTGTTGTGAAGCAAGACGAGGATGATCCAATATTAGACGGTAGGTGTCAGAGTGATCACATTATCTTTTCTTTGTAACTATACGGATAACTATTTAAATTGAGCATATGCTTCATAGTATACGATCAAATGAGCGACACGATGAGATGATCACTTCGCTTGCCATAAGCAGATATATTATAGGCAAACTACGGGGAAAACGTACACCACGACACATTTCACTGGGCATATGTGATAGTAAAGATTTATTTACATGCATTTATGAATAACGCAATGTGCATTTTGTTATGTAGACTAGAGTCTAACTCACCCACAACGATTTGATGTTCTCTTCACTTTTCGTCGACGGTAGAAGTAGATGCCGATAAAAACAGTAAGCAAAATCCAGGTCATACCGACAAGGGTTGCAATAAGCTAGAAATGGTAGAGGATGAAGAAGTATTTCGTTTGGATAAGCGGTGATAAGTTAAATATTGATAGTGTCATCCATAACGCACATACTGTATTTACTCATATCATGCACACTGAAATACAGTGTCATTAAATTTGGGACTGAAGTCTGGTTTATCGTGTTTACGAAGAGAGAACCAGTTACAATATTTTTCGAACACTAACTACTTTCTACTTGTTTAGGGGAATGTATTAGTGCTGTTGTTAACAACAATCAACATTCTAATATTTGTCATTTATGTGCGTGACAAGGAATCAATATTACTAATAGGTAGTTTAGCAGATTTATGATTTTAGATGAGACCCAATTGTGAAAAGTCAGGGCTTCGGTTAGATTCAAACCAGCGACAGAAACACCATGCTTCAACGCGGCGAGCGCTCTACCAGCTGAGATACGAAGCCACGTCAGGAGCTCGGAACTGCCATTTTTGGACTCGATGTTCCTGTCGCTGGTTCGAATCCAGCCGAAGCCCTGACTTTCCACAGTTCGGTCTTATCTAGAACTATAACTCTGCAAAACTACTTATCAGTAATACAGTTCCTATGCTCAACAATGGCGTTGGTGGATCCCAGCGTGAATTGGTTGAGAAATCCTACTGGGGCAACCAATCCCCTGGATCATTTGGTGGATTCCATATGAGACGGTGTGACGGGTGGGTAACCGAGTCCAAATGTGAAATCTCCGAGCTCCTGGAGTGGCTTCGTAGCTCAGTTGGTAGAGCGCTTGCCTCGTTGAGGTATGGTGTTTCTGTCGCTATTTCGAGTCCAGTCGAAGCCCCAACTTTTTACAGTCGGGTCCCATCTAGAATCAATATTACAAAAACAGGAAGAAGTCAAAAGCCATTTTTGATGAAAAATTGGCTGGTGTAGCCCGTGATAACCATTGGACTTATGCGTTTCCTCGAGTGAAAAATTTAATGCAACTTCAAAGTCAATGGTTCTTCAGATAGAGGTGGCTTGAAAAACAGTTTATGAAAGAGTCGATGACTATGTCGTTTCTCGGAGAAATAAGGCTGTGATTGTTGATCTTCGTTTGATTTCACTCTTATGTTTTCCTGCCATAGGGCTAGGATACCATTCCATACCGGAGTGTAGTCCACCACAGGCAAGGGTTACATAAAATGACCTCACTAAGTGGTCAGGTATTTCTGTGCCGCAAACAGTTAGCCTTGCATCATCTCAAATGTTGTTTAAGATGTTACTTATTGTACACGTTTCCTGATGATCTGGTTTCAGTTACTGCCGACTTAACGGTAGCCTGCTACTTGTATTCGTTCTCTTCTCCTGTTTTCTGTCGTCATTTCAATATTTCCTTTAAACAAAATACTTTTGAGTTTATGCGGAGCCATCACGTTGTGTTAAGCAAGCAGTTTGATTGCTCTCTTTTGAGAGGTCCGAAATCGTAAGAACTCACAAGAAACGTAAACAGCTGTTTTAAGTAGTTCTGCGTAGGCGTTTACAGTCACGTAAGATTTGCACATGAAAATCAGACCAGGTATATAAGTCAGTAGGTGAAACTTGTATGGGTTTGACTAGAACAGGGTTCACCCTTGCTCAGTCTTCAAGTGGTTTTGGGGATAACTGACCAAAAAAAGACGGTTTAGATAAGCCAGTTTGAATACACAAACAAACTGTAGCTTTTACTAATGATAACAGTAACAATCCGAGAGCTTTGGACCAGGAATAAAGTAGCTTGTAGAGCACTTGGGTAACCTGGTTGGTTATTCCTTGAAGCTACCCTTATCCAACCAATGATTTTAAGTATATCTCCGAAAAACAGTTACATACATTGAAACTATGCAAGTCTGCAGGTTGGGACTTCATTCAAAAAAGGGATAAAGAAACCTTGCCGAAATAGAGATGGACGCTCACTAGTCATTTTGCAGAGTGGTCTTTTCAAAATTCCTTGCTAAACAAATGTCAGCTTGTTGTTGCCAGTACATCTGATTCTTGCTTTCCAGTGTATGAATCTGCTGACATAGTTTTTCAATTTTTTGGAAAAACAGAATGTCAGTATTTTCATTATGGTTTTCCACAATTAACAGTTGGAACCGGAGACCATAACTGACCCGTCTGTTAGAAATCGTCAGAAGTTGCCCATGAAGGTCTAATATTGTCGATATGAGGCTAATCGCAGTAATGTGTGATGTGACCTGTCGTGGTTAACATACTGACACTACAGGCGTAAAGACTACGGCAGGAATACATCGTCGGACTGGCCTATACACATTGTGGATAGCCTGCAGGATGTACATCACGCAAACTTAAAAGACTAGCAGATAGACCAGAACTACGTTAGACAGCCCGATGCGTTTAACAGGCACATTCTGGAAATTTCACCTCTATCGCAAATTAATTTACTGTTGCCATCCACTGAGATCACAGTATGTAAGGTCCAGTAAAAAGACAGTCTGCCCAAACGCATGAGGATTGATCACATCCTTACAACTAACATGTTGTGGATATGCCATAAACTTACCGCAATGTAATTAGTGGAAATCATGAGTAAGTTGTACGCATTAACTTATGATGATTGTCCTTGCTTTATATTGGTGAAAGCTGCCTTTTTTGTTTTACCATCCTTCACTTTTTCCTAGACTTCCTTGTGCTCTGACCAAACATTAATCTAAGTGTTCAGCTTGATATGTGCTACACAAACTTTCGGTATCCGTATCATTGCGACCACAAATTATCATCATTTGACTAGTATTTCTTGAAAATTCCCTAGCACTACCACCACTGATAGCATTCACATAATCACGCTACTGCGTCCAAATTGTCAATGATTTAGCACTAACAAACATATTGTCTTCACCTGCTTTTATGATATTTCCTCACTGTAAATGAACCGTATCATTTTCGCTGTAGAAATTGATGAAAAGCGAGTACACGGCATCTCATGTTCTACTATACGTTTGTTACAATTCAGTTGGAAAGTTAATTTTTCAAGAAAATTGAATCAATAGACTTACCACGGTAAAGTAAAGTGTGTTGTTGGATGTCAATTTTCCACCTAAATTGTCAGAAACATGAAAAAAGATGTATTTAATCGGAAAATTTTTACACGTTTTGTTATACTGATTAATCAGTTTAAATTTTGGACTATTTGACACCGCGTTCTGTTTATCCCTGTTGTTAAATGTTTGATACAATGTGACCCAGTACAACTTTGACCGAATTGTTTTGCCTTGTATTTCTTTCAGTGAGATTTGACAATTAAGAAGTTTGTTACTGGACAGTTTTGTTTATATTGAGTAATAAAATATTGCCTTTTGTAGTCCTTTGATTAAGTAACCTGGGTGTATTTGCAGGTTGATCCCAATGGATGTGACTAGAGACTCGTACAAATTGCGGCTAATGTTCATAGTACTGTAAGCTTGATGCTAACGGTGCAGTGAGGTTTAAATATTTGAGAAAAAACGTGTTCATTTCACGGTCCTATCTTAGCATGCTATCAACACCGTTCAGGTCTTTTGCATAAATATGAACACGGTGACCAAGGGGTATGCGTACACTAATCTCTATTTCCACCCAGAAAAAGATGGTAGCATTGCCAACCAAAGTTCACAACCGTGACATTTAAAACTAGATACCACAGTGGGATTTGCTTTACAGAATGACCTCGTTCAGCCGTCTAAAATCCACACAAAAGCGATACTTCCCGTTAGGCTTCTTCACCAGGAGAACAGGCGAGTTGTACGGACTGTTGGCTTCTTCGATAACATCCTCTTTCAGCATGTTTTGTACTTGCCTTTTTAATTCCCCCTCAAGATGAACCGGTATCCTGCGGGGTCCGTGAGGTCGAAATGTTCCGGTTGTTGGTATTTCATATGCAATCCAGTTGCAGAATTCGTACGGATCATTGTCGTTCGTAAATACTTCCGCACATTTCTCGACCGTGGACCGGAGCAAGGGGGCAGTGCAAATGGGGGTTTTAGCTGTGCGTAATTCATTGACGCTATCCTGTCGCTGTCCTGTGAGTGTCAGGGAGCCATACCTAGCTGACAACTTTGTGAGCTCCAAGTCAATCACGGCATCTGTTGCGGCAAGGAAATAGGCTCCAAGGATCGTTTGTCTAGTTTCTGGGGACACAATGAAACGGTGCTTTACGATATGACAGCCGATACGTACACCACATTCTTTCACACCGTCAACCAGTAGACTATGACCTCCAACCGTCCTGATCATCATGGATGTCGGTTCTACGTTTTGCTTTCCTGCACGAGCAATCAACGAAATAGCCGCCCCTGTATTGACCAAACACTGTTCTATCTCCACGTCAACTTCAACCCTTGTATATACAGCCCCCTTCTCAATCGCTCCCATTACTAGTTGGCCCGCCCAATAAAAAGAACAATCAAGAAACACTTTATTTTTAGACCTCTTAAACCACCGGATTGGACAATCCTTCTTCCACTGTCCTCAGCCCTGTCCAGCAAACCTTGCAGAGTGGCGGCAAACACGGATGGATCCGCTCCTTTTCCAAGCCTGGCCGCCTCGAACCGTTGTATGTCCTCCTGGCGGTCGGCCGGGCTGTCAAACGCAGCCACCAGATCCTCCTTCGCACTCCATTTTCGCAGGACACTTTCGCGCTGCGCCCAGCACCGTCTTCGCTCTGCGTCCAGCACCGCCTTCACCATGCCCTTCACCAGCGTTCGTAGGGCAGCCAGCTTCCCACGGTCGGTCTTGACTCCGACCACTTTGGCCACGTCCTCGAAGTCCTCCAGGAACGTCCGGACGTCTCCATCTTTGAACGGCTGCGGCCACGGTATCCTCATTTTCGCGTTCATTACGGCACCAGTTGTGACCGCAAAAGACGCTTGACCTGAAAATTCGTTTATTGCGCAAACTCCCGTATAGGTCATATCAAAAATCAAACCACAAACGCGTACACTCATTTGCACGTCAGACATGCATTCACATACATCATTGTCATTCGCCTTGATGGAACTTCTGCCGTAGCGCGTACACACTATTCCGATAGTCTTTTCTTGTCCATCGTTTTTCTGGCGTTCGGAGCTTGCCCTTTTGTTCCTGAATGTCGCCTGTGGGTAATATACTACTTGTGGGCAATATACTACTCACAACGAAACTGCCTGTCATACAACATTACAAACCATTTGGAATCAATGGCTAAGACTTAACTTCATGCATTCAACCGCAACTAACTGACAATCTTCACTTGCCGTTGGTTTACATGTAAGGGTCACTTGCTCATAATCTTGATTCAACCATAAGTTTTGCAATCCACTTAACACCAAACAGTTTCTTATAAAAAATGAGAGTTTAATAAACCAAATCATTCAACAGCTGGTGTCTTCTGAAAGTTCTGCTCAAATGGCTCTGACAGATATGTTGGTTCCAAATTTTGCCCGTATTATTATCCTTCTGCCGCATTGCCGTGGTTATTTTCTACTGAAATATACTTGAATTTTTACGGTTAAAGTGCCAGTATTTTTGCTTCAGTCCAACTATAATTGATTAGCTAGTGGCGGGTGAAGCAGTATTACTGATAAGTTACAAGAGACCTGGCTGGTGCAAGCTATACACTCTCACAATTGGCCGCGGTTTGGGGTAACACAAAGACGAACGTAGTTGAAATTTTGAGGAGAACTAAGCGGTCCTAACTAATGTTGGGCCAGTGCCACAGAGGTAAACACGGCTGCTTCAGGAAAATGTAAACGGAATTTTAAATTCCCGTCAGTGGACAAATTTGCTTCACCAACCAACTCCAACAAGAAGTTAACTGGGAACCGGTGCTTATTTTTTAGACCGATA